TACCGCATTCTCACCTCGCCACTCTGCGCGTGAACGTTGATCCATCGTGCGCACAGAGCGAGAACCCGTATCAAATGAAACCCTTGGGGCCACGCGCGAGCGCCGCCACGCGCGCGAGTCGAAATCCCTTCCAACAACAGATACGGAAAGAACGCACGTACGACAAAAGCGGCAGCTTCTCAAACAGTACATGTGAAATGAACATCTGCACGCGTTTCCTCACCATCGCCCTCATCAACCAAATTGTACCACCGTCGTTCTGGTCATCGCCTATCGCCCCCATCGCCTCCTTCAGCAACAACATCCCGTTTCACCACAGGCACATGGACATCAGCAGCGTCATCGTCGCCACCAACATCGGAGAAATCATGGGCCTTGTCTTCACCGCTATGATCGCCGCCAGCATGTGTACTATCTCGGTGTGGCCCCCTTCGTCTTCTCTCCTGCAACTATAAACTAGGTGCCGTTGAATTCGGGGCGTCGTGTTGGAGACGGAGGCTGTCGAGTACCAGGTAACGTCTGCCCGAAACGGCTGCAACTGAGTACCAAATGCTGTGTTGGACTCGGGCGCGCGGCGGGCGGGCGGCGGCCTGCGGCCGGCGGTCCCGCAGCGGGCGGGCGGATCGGGACTCTGATAGAGCTCCTAAGCGTTCTGTCCTGCAGCGGGACGCTGTTGAAAACTGGGCTTCGTGTTGGAGACGGAGGGTTGAAAGCGCTGGGCGCTGTGTTTCACACTGAAGTCGGGCCTGTCCCCCTACATGGAAGATTTTGGGCGCCAAAAATGTAACATGCCCCACAAATGCCCCCAAATGCTGAAAAATGTTCAAAAATAGTCCCCAGACTATTTTTTACTATGTTTTAATATTCCTCCTGTAGCGGGACAGGCCCGACATAATTTCAGACGGACGCCGTTGAGTGCTGGGTGTTGTGTTCAACGCGGAAGCAAGGCGGGCGGGCGGTGCGGGAGGGGCGGCGGGCGGGCGGCGGGCAGGCGGGCGACGGGCGGCGGGCGGGCGGATCGGGATCTCAGTGGAACTCCTAAGGATCCGTCTCTCTTGCAGCGGGATGCTGTTGAAAACTGGGCGATGCATTGGCGACGGAGGCTGTTGAAAACTTGGTGTCGCGTTCGAGACGGATGCTGTTGAGAGCCGGGTGTTGCGTTGAACACGGGGACACGGCCGGCTGGCTGGCGGCGGGCGGCGAGCGGCGGCTTGGGATCCGAATCGAACTCCCAAGGGTTCTCTTTTGCAGCGGGATGGCGTTGAATACTTGGTCTTGGGTTGGAGACGGAGGCTGCTGAGTACCGGGAATTGTGTTGAACACGGAAACACGGCGGGGGGGCGGCGGGCGGCGGGCCGGCGGCAGGCGGTCGGATCAAGACTCGAATAAAAATGCGAACTAAGTGTTGTGTTGAACCCGGAAGCGCGGTGGGCGGGCGGCGGAGGGCGGGTGGCGGGCGATCGGCGGGCAGGCGGGCGGCGGGCGGGCAGATCGGGATTTCAATAGAACACCTACGGGTTTTCTCTCGTAGCGGGATGGCGGGATGCTGTGGAACAGTGGGTACTGTGTGGGGGGCGGAGACTGTTGAGCATTGGGCGCTGTGTTGGAAGCGGACGCTGTTGAGTACTGGGTGCGGTGTTGACCGCGGAAGCACGGAGGGCGGAAGGCGGGGGGCGGGCGGATCGGAGTTTGAATCGAGCTTCTAAGAATTTCCCCTTGCAATGGGATGCTTAAAAAAAAAACATCCAGTTATCGCTGGCTTTGTTAGGTTACCTGTCGGCAAGGTGGTCCGCATCCAAGTGCGGAGCAGTGCAGAGGGCAGAGGGCCCTCGGACGACTTGAACGCCAGGCAGGCCTGTAGAGAAAGAATTAAGAAGAGCTGCTACTGAGGAGGCTTGCAATGGGATGCTGCTGAATACTGGGTGCTGTGGTGTGGAGCGCGGAGGCGCAGCGGGCGGGCGGCGGGGGGCGGCGGCGGGCGGGCGGCGGCGGGCCTCCTCCTCCTCCTCCTCCTCCTCCTCCTCCCTCCTCCCCCTTCTCCTCCTCCTCCTCCTCCTCCTCCTCCTCCTCCTCCTCCTCCTCCTCCTCCTCCTCCTCCTCCTCCTCCTCCTCCCCCTCCACCAAAACGCTCCGCAGGGATGCTTTCGGATGTTGACGGTTGTCCCGAGCTCGGGTGTGAGAGCGCGAGGAAGGTATCAGGAAGGTTATCGCAACAGCTTCCAAAAGGCCGTCCACCAACTTTCCAAGAACCCTCCAACATGTGACCAAATCTCTCTATACAGAAAGCCTTCCACACTCCTTCCAAACGTATTCCTGATCACCTTCCAACACACCAAAGAAAAGCCTTTCTCAGGAAGGCTGTGGGGGAGCTCCCCCAAAAAAGCCTGCAAGCAAACTTCCCCAGGCCACTTATTTCGATGGTTTGCCCCAACAGCCTCCCAAAAACATGTCCCAAGAAGATGTGTTGAACATTTCCCCCAAAACATGTCAGGCACCTTCCCGGAGGAAGGTTGTTGGAAGGTCGCCAAAAACATTCACAACCCTCCAAAAATCGTTCCTCAGGACGGTGTCCGGAAGGTGTTCTCCCAGAACCATTCAAATACGTCCAACAGGAATGTGTCTGGAGATGTTCCTCCGAAGCCGTTTAGACAATTCTCCTCAGCAAGGTTGTGGGAAGGTTTGCCCCAAAAACCGTCCAACGACCTTACTATGGCCTTAGTGTTTCTCCAAAAACATTTGGAAAACTTCCCAGGACAACCATGCACAACTCTACAACCCGTCCTCGTGACAGTGTTTGGAGGGTCTCCTCCAACCAACCTTCTAAAGACCTCCCTCAAGGTGGTGTTTGGAGAGTTCCCTCCCAAACCATCTCAACACCTTTCTCGGGCAGGTGTTTGGAGGGTCTCCTCCAAAAGACCTTCCGAACACCTTCCTCAGGAAGGTTGGGGGAGGGGGGTCCTCCAAAAGCCACCCAACAACTCTCACATGGAAGATATGTCATGGGCTTCCCGCGACAGAACCTTCCACAAACCTTCCCCCTGACATGTGTTTGAAGGTTTCTCCAAAACGCCTTCCAACAACCTCCTCCAGGAAGGTTGCTGGAGGGTGCCGCAAATCAAACCACCAAAACAACTTCTGCGGGAAAGCTTTGGAAGGTTTCCTCGAACAACGATCCAACAGGTTTCCCCGTGAGTTCTTTCTGTGTGGGGGGGTTCTCCATCAAACATCCGAAAAGCCTTCTCAGGAAGGCGTTCGAAGTGTTCCCGCGAAAACACATCCAGAAAAACCTGCCAAAGAAATGTGTTGGGGACATGTCATCAAAACGCCTTCCAAAAACCGTCCGGATTATGGGAGGTATCCATCGGCCCTTCCTCAAGGAAGCAAGTGCTTGGGATAATCCCCGCAGACACATTCCGAACAACTTCCCGAGGAATGTTTGTTGGAAGGTTGTTGGAAGAAGTCCTCCAACAACATTGTTGAGGCAGGTTCGTTCAACGCTTTTTTGGTGCAGCCCAAACAAAGCCGTCCGATACATGTTGTTGGATGGTGTTTGGATGAAGCCTTCAAACAGAAATTCCTGAGGAAAGTTTGCGAAAGGTTGCTGCTGGGGGGACATAAAATGAAGATAGATCTATAAACACCTCCCCGCGGAAGCGTTTCCTCATGCGTTGTTGGAGGAAGCCCTATAATCAACCTGCTTGGTGAAAATTTCTACATGTCAGTTGTTTGGAAAAAAATCCTTCAAAAACATGCCCGAGAAAAGGTTTCCGGACGGTTGTCTGATGAAGCAATCCCAAAAAACCTTGCCAAGGAAGGTGTTTGGACGGCTGCTTGAACAAAACCCTCCAGAAACCTTCCCGCGTTTGGTCTTTGAACCGTGTTGGAGGAAAGTCTCCAAAACCTTGCTGGGGAAGGTATTTAGAAGTCTTTTGGGAGGAACCTGCAAACAAACAACTGCCAGATAGAGGTGTTTGGCAGGCTGTTGGGAGAAACCCTTCCAACATCGTTCATGAGGGAATTAGTTGGTGATAGATGTTCGGAGGAAGCCCTCCATGTTCGCAGAAGAAACCTTTTCGAACCAAACACCTTCTTCGAAGAACTTGTTGGACAACTGCTGTAGAACACCCTTTCAAAAAGCACTCCAGGGGAGCATTTTTGGAAGGCGCGTGGGAACAAAAAGAAACGTCCAAACACCTTCCTGAAACATGTATTTGGAATGGGTCTTGAGCGAAGTCCTCCAAAGGCCTCCCTGCGGGAGTTGCTTTGAATTTTGTTGGGCGTGTTTTTTTGGGGAGAGCCCTCCTGACGAAGGTTGTTGGAAGGTTTTTGGAGGTCGCCTTCCAAGAAACCCTCCTTCTGAAAATTGTTGGAAGGTTTTTGACAGAACTCCTGAAAATTCATGTGGAGGAATATTTGGAAATGGTTGGGGAAAACTTCCTGAGGAAGCTGTCCGGAAGGCTTGTGGAGGAACACCCTCCAAAAACCTACTGGACAAAAGCTTTTGGTGTTGGACAATTGTTTTGAACATTTTTCTTGTGAAGCCCTCTAAGTTTTTCCGGAGGAAAATGTTTGGGAGGTCCTTGGAGGAACTCACCAAAACCTTCAACGTGGAAGTTATTCAGAAGATCTTTAAAACAACTCCCTGAGGAAGGTTTTGAAACATAGGTTTTTGGAGGAAGCACTCCCAAAAAAACCCTGCGGAATGTTTTTGGTCAGTTTTCGGACAACTCCTCCAAAGGCACTCCCGAAGATGATTTTGGAATGATTCAGAGCGGGTTAGGGGAACTGCCGCGCCCACCTGCCCCACTGGCATCATTTGCTAGGGGGGAGCTCGGGCACCAGGGGTGAACAAACACCTGCGAGGGAATGTCCCCTGCCCGCGAAGACCATGGTGCATGGAGATCGCGGGGAGCAGGGCTGGCACCGAGTAGACCGACAGATCGACTTGCACCGGTTCGGTCTGCACAAGGACCCCGTCCTTGGTCCAATAGAGGTCGGCCTTACCATCGTGAACGTCGCAGGCGACGCCGATGACACACTTCTCCTCTCGGGCCCAGCGAGAGGGAGGGTAGCGAATCATCAGCGGAAGTAACGGGGCGGATAGCAGCCTAACATTCGCATTACATCGCACCAAAGGCCCAGCGGAGAGTGGGGCTCCGATCGGCCATGCCTTCGACAAGGTTCCCAGCCGAATGCGTGCAATGTCTGCCCCTGGGCAATCAACCCCTCTTGCCTCCGCTAAGCTGAACTCACGTATATGAGGGGGCCCAGGGACACACAAAAAAGTACACACACACATCCCAGGGATCACCATATTTTCTCTCATACTTTCTGAATATTCGTCCTCCCCACTTCCCATATCTTCCATCTGGGAGACGACCATGAATTATGTCAATGTGTTTTTCCCCTCCTGACTTTTGTCCGACCCGATCCTCCCACTTGGGCAGGAAGGCCTCCGGGGATCTTCTGACCCGGGTCAATCCAGACCAGGGTCAGCCAGGCCTTGCAAAATCCTGCAAGATCCTGCGGGATCCTGCGCCCAAGCCGGGGTCAGTGCGCCCCTGTCCCTGGAGGATCATGCAGGATCGGGCGCTCTGGCTGACCCCTGTTTGCGTCGACCCCCGTCTCGAGGCTCCCGAGGCCTCGGCCAGCTGCCCCAGCCGGTGGCCATTGTGCTTCAGCCGGCTGTGCTCGTGCGGGTTCGCGCCCTCGTACCCCCACGAGAACCGGTCGTCGCCGACGCCGGAGGCGATGTGGTCGCCCGCGAAGGTCGTGGTGCTCCAGCCTATGGCCGCGGGCCCACCCTTCTCACTCTTCTTCTTGTCGTCGCTGCCCTCGTCGACCAAGCCCTGCGCGATCCTCCAAATGTCGATGTCGCTGCGCTCGTAGATGTAGTTGACCCGAACCTCGTAATAGTACTTCCCGCTGTAGATCGGACAGGTGCCCCGGATCACGGGCCTGTGCTTGACGGCTCGGGCGAACCAGCCCCTGCGCTTCAGAATCCGCAGCGCTTGCGAATCGGTGCTGGGTCTCCTTTGCGCAAAAAAAACAACCTTCCCGGCATTCCTATAGACCCACCACGACATGCTCTCAGAAAAAAACCATGGTCTGAGAACAAATACCAGGTCCTCAAATCATCTACCCAGCGTGGTAAAACTGAAGCAGGACTGTCCCAACCAGAAACGCTCTGAGAACAACTCGTGCATACCACAATCGGCTCTTAGAATACTCTGTGATGGGCCGCAAGGCAAGCCAGGACGCTTCACCACTGCTTAGTAGAAGGCAACGAATCCACCCCCATAATAATAACCACCCCGACACGCGAAGCCGTTTACGAAACGCCCCCCACTAAAGGAATCGAACAGGGCAAGGCTGGCTAGTAAACGCCTAAGAAACTCCAATCGTCCGGTCCGGGTGTTTTTTCCTCCCTTGACTTGACTCCTGCGCGTGAGAGGATGGGGGACCTTCTGACCTGGGTCAATCCAGACCCGAGTCAATCAGGCCTTGCAGAATCCTGCAACATCCTGCACCGGGATCCTGCACCCAAACCCGGGTCAGTGCGCCCCTGGCCCTGCAGGATCCTGCAGGATCGGGCGCTCTGGCTGACCCCTGTTAGCATCGAACCCCGTCTCTTGAGCCCCGACGCTTGGGAAACTCCAATTTGAAGAGGCCCTGACACACACACACACACATACACACACACACGCGCACACACATAAATACACACACATAACAGGATTCCCCATATTTTCCCATACTTTCTGGGTTTTTTGTCTTCCCCCCCACTTCCCATGTTTTCCCATATTTTCCTGGGATCGACGATAAATTGCATCTGTGTGCTTCTTTCCCTCTTTTCGGCCTTGACGTGAGGCCTCTCCTTCTGTCCCCCCCTCTTTCTTAATTCAAGCTTCGCGCAGCCCGCTTAGCTTCGACCGGAAGAGGTGCGCTCTCGACCCGCGAATCAAAACAAGTGTCTTTCCCTCCTGACTTGACTCCCCTTGACTTGACTCCTTTCCCTTTCCCCTTGACTTGACTCCCCCTGACTTGACTCCCCTTGACTTGACTCCCCTTGACTTGACTCCCCTTGACTTGACTCCCCTTCCCTGCGCTGTCTGGTCCGGGTGGTCCTTCCCCCCTTGACTTGACTCCTGAGCGCGAGAGGATCGGAGCCCCCCTGCGCCGGCTGCGGGCCGGCCGAGCGGTCCACGTCGGGCACGGCCCCGGGCAGAGAAGCGGAGTCCTCTGGGAGGGCGGCGTGCAGAGAAGGAGGACGGGCGGGAGGTAGAGGGGGAGGAGGAGGAGGAGGAGGAGGAGGAGGAGGAGGAGGAGGAGGAGGAGCAGGAG